GTGATAACGTTTTTGTATTCTGATGACAATAAAAATCCCTAAAATTCCCTATTATGTAAAATATTTAGTGCAACAGTTATCATGAGTTATCTTTCGTAAAAGCCACTGAATTTTTTCCTATCCATGTTGGCAGCTCTCAGGACAGGGTGCGTAGTGTTTGTTAAAAGTGCGTAAAGGTGCTTATTTTTTATTTACTTTTTTTTAAAAGCCCTTCAAGATGCTTCTATTATTCGGGATTTGTAAGAAGTGCGTAATTTTCTATAATTTAAAAAGTTTTTTTTCTTTCCCTTGTTGATTGTCGATCTAAATTACAAAAAATGCTTGATTTTCACAATTTTCTCTGCTATATTTATCAGACACTAGTTATTCTATAATGATTATGTAAGAACCGCGATGGCTCAGGGCAGGCCCGTAGCCAGGGCAGGAGGGGGGACAAATCCCCCCCTCCCTGAAATTCTGGGATTCAAACTTTTTAGTCTTTCTTTGAGCCTCTCAGTAAAAAGCAAAACAAAAACTGTCGTATCAGACCTTTTATTAATTAACTTTACTAAGCATATTTCAGGATATTCTGGTTTGTCCTAAAAAAGTGATCGAAAAATTTTCTTCAAATCCCCGTCGCATGTCTTTGTAAACTTTGTTTAAAAATTGATTATAATTATTGTGTAATATTAATTGAAAAATAAGTATTATGCAATATTTTTTAATTACTAGTTTAACTTTTGCAAACAACAGAATATACAATATTTGTTACAATGTTTTTCCCCTACTTTGCATGTCTGAAAGGATAATGTAAAGTTTTTGAAAAAGATTTTGAATTTTATTGATTTCATCTTGATAAATTAAGAACTTTAAACAATAGAATTTAAACAAACTAATTATGATTATAATTTATTTTTTTTTGAAAGTGATTAAAAATATTCAATAGTGTTTTGCATAGAAAACGTTAATATTCACATTTTCTGTAAAAATTTTAAATTGATTATTGCTTATAAAAGAGGCAGTTTTTATCAATAGTGTATAAGCATTCAAAAAACCTATGTTCATATGAAGTAGTACATCAATATTCGTAAATATTAAATTATTTAAGTATCTTAATAATATTTCAATTCATATTTAATTCTCTTAATAATATTTCAAATTATTTTAACGTTTGTTAATGCTTATATTGTATTTTTCTTTTTCTCTTTTCATAAAATTTTAATATTGTTCTCACACGAGACCGAGCTCGAGTATCCAGTATGGTTGTGAGAATTCATAATTTTCTTAATCAAAAATTAGCGTAGAATAAAATTCTTTTTCCTGAGACTGTTTTTTTAAATTTGTGAAAATAGAATGGAAACTGTTCAACCATGTCTCTTAATTAGTGTTAATAATATTGCTCTACGTTATTGTTTTCCAATTCAAAAACTTTGCGCTGGTTCCAGTTTTAAAAAGTTTCTCTTAAAACACTTATCTTAAATTTACCCTTATTAAGCTATCAACCTATCCAATAGGTTGATAGCTTAATAGGAGTACCGTCGGTCCATAGCGTATCAAAGCTTCAATGATTTTGCATGTTTGATGAAATACTTGCGAGTCCGTACGTGCATATATACTGAGCTGGGTTATGTGAGATTATTACACTCTCATGTGCAACTCTGCTGCATTTTGCAAGATATTCTCAATGTCAGGCTTTATTTTCCACCCTCTGAATTCGAACCGAAAAATCTCTTGATCATTTTATAATTATGAAAAGAGTTCTTTGTCAGAAACTAGTTATTTTATCATGATCATGTAAAGTCTTTGAATATTATTTTGCATTTTGTTAATTTATATAGTGCTTAAAAAGATTTTTCGATCATCATCAATTGTTGGTCCTTGAGAATCAAACTTCTCTGGATGGTTAAACATCATACTATTAAAATTAGCATTTTCCATCATTGAATGATGGAAGTTTGTTGGCATATCAAATACCATGAGCACAGAATAAAAAATGACGGCTGTTGGACTATCATGAACAGGCGTTGAAACCAGCATAAACCATCTGACTTTTTTGATGGGACCATCAAGAATTTTCGCTAGGGCAGGGGTCTGTCCAGGCATTTTGTGAAAGGTCCGTTTTTGTAAAATTGTGAAAAAATTACTCGTCATTTGTGAATATAAAATAAGCGTTAAGTCACATTCTTTCAACCAGGGTCCGCTTTTGTGAATTTGAGCAAATAGGGTCCGTTATTGCAAAAAAACTTTTTCAAGGAGTTTTTAAATTGTAAAGACATACAAGATTATGTTCAGCACTGTAAAATTATAATTAAAAGAATTATTTTAAAAAAAATTCTTTTCAATTGCTGCTACTAAATTAGCGATGCAACATATAAATATTTGGTATTTAGCCTATACTGTTGAACGCAGAATATTCATTTCGGACGAATAAAGGAAGAAGCGTCTGCTGAAGACAAAATTTAGTTCGTTTACATCTGTCTTTCTTTCCCCTCTCCCTTCCTGGGAAGGGTTTTTTCGATTAACAGAACAATAATGAAGATAAACAAATTTGTGAAGGGTCCGATTAAAAGATAAATTATTTTGTGAAGGGTCCGTTTTTAAGTTAAAATATTGTGTGAAGGGTCCGTTTTTATGAAAAGATATTTAGTGAAGGGTCCGTTAACGGACCCAAATTTCTTCTAAACAGACCCTTGTAGGGTATGATCAGGTGTTCCTTTTTTTTCATTTTGAATTATTTTTATCATATTTCAGCTTTTTATAATTTTTTGTCAATTACTGATTTTACCACATTTTTCTTTATTTTCCGTTGCAAAAGAAATCCAATCCAGCTCCTTCTGCTACTTGAAATATGAAATGGATTGAATGTTTACTTATAGAAATATGTAGAAAATAACTTGAAAATGTGATAAAAAGTTTTTCTTTTAAACTAAAACTTAATTTTATAATAATTTTGAATTATTACATGAAAATTATAATTTTTTTTATTTTTTGCTCATTGTAGAACATTTTTATAGTGTATTTCTTCATATTAAGATTTTTTTGTGTACTCATTATAGCGTATATCTTCATTGTAGATTTATTAAGTGATTAATTGTACCAAAAGTTGTCCAATAATGTTTCTTGATTGATTGTATGCAGGGGTCTGTTTAGAAGACGGACCGGACCCTTCGCATAATATCTTTTCATAAAAACGGACCTTCACAAAATATTTTTACTTAAAAACGGACCCTTCACAAAATAATTTATCTTTTAATCGGACCCTTCACAAATTTGTTTATCGTCATTATTGTTTTGTTAATCCAATAAACCCTTCCCTGGAAGGGGGGGGGGCAGAAAGACAGATGTAAACGAACTAAATTTTGTCTTCGGCAGACGCTTCTTCCTTTATTCGTCCGAAATGAATATTCTGCATTCAGCAGTATAGGCTAAATACCAAATATTTATACGTTGCATCGCTAATTTAGTAGCTGCAATTGCTGTTTATTTTTTAATTATAATTTTACAGTGTTGAGCATAATCTTGTATGTCTTTACAATCTAAAAACTCTTTGAAAAAGTTTTTTTGCAATAACGGATCCTAATTGCACAAATTCACAAGAGCGGACCCTGGTTGAAAGAATGTGACTTAACGCTTATTTTATATTCCCAAATTACGAGTAATTTTTTCACAATTTTACAAAAACAATTTTTTGTGAAGCGTCCCTTCACAAAATGTCTGGACAGACGACTGGTATGAAATATGGCTGCTAGGATAAACTCAAAAAAACTTTACTATTATTAAACAAAATTGTATATTGCCAAATTCTTTGTATGAGAAACAAAAAGAATAAGAATTTTTAAGTCATTGCTTAACGCATTTTTTACATTTACAGTGTGTCTCCATTGTACATTTTCCGCAAACATATTTTTTCTGATTATTATTATTTCAAAAATTATTCTTCTAATTGCTTATTCTTCTAATTAATAGGTTATAATTCTTATAAATATTATTTATTCTAAGAACTTGTTGTGCTGTGTTGATTGTTTCGACATTTTTCTGGGAAAAAAACTAACAGTTAGAAATGAAGTACAGCGATCAACATAAAATATAAGCTACTTACTAAACCATTTAGTTTTTGTCACCTTTTCTGACACAAAAATGCCTATCTAAAGTTTTAGCTACCATCTTGAAATTTGGAATTCACAGTTAGCACTAACTTCGCAACAGTCTTTGCAGAAATGTGCAACTCATCGATTGCAATATGTTGAACATGCATTACATTATAATTTCTGATAACCTTATAAAGCAATAAATTGTTCTCTCGGTTATGTTAGTAATGGGTATACGATAAGTATTATTCGAACAAGCAAAATACAAAATAATAATAGAATAGAACATTAACTGTTATGTAATTGTTAGAAAAACTGATGAAGTAAAATGTGCAAAAACGATAAGATAATAAGCGCATTTTCGATGCAGAAGTTCTTAAACGGTCATTTGACCCCCAGGTATGGTATGTTTAGTGTTAAGAACTTTAAACGATACATAACTTTAAACGTTATGTAACTTACTGAGGGTGTAGTATTCTTAAAAAGTGCTTAAATATGATTATTTTTTATTTAATTTTAAAACCTCTTAAAGGTGCTTTTTATTCGGAGTTTGTTAAAAGTGCTTAATTTTCTATGTTTTAAAAAGAGATTTTTCTCTTTGCCGTGTCAATTGTCGTTCTAAATTACAAAAAAAAAAAAAAAAAAAAAAAAGTGCTTGATTTTTCACAATTTTTTCTGCAATATTTATCAGAAACTAGTTATTATTTATCATGATTATGTAAAGTTTCTGAAAATGTTTCTAAATTGTATTGATTTTATATTTATAAATTAAGAACTTTAAATTATAGAAAAAATAGCTTTTATCAATGCATATAGACCCTAATTTTGATTTTCTTTTGGAAATTGATTAAAAATATTTTTTGAGTGCTTAAAAAGTACTTCAGAGGTGCTTATTTTTTATTGTTATTATTATTTCGATTGTTAAGTGAATTGTTATTAAATTGAAATGATTCTTTTTTTCCCAGGATGCAATAGTAGAAAATGACATCATTGAAAACGGAGTGTCGCAAATTCAGTCCTAACATATTTAACAAAAGCAAGTGCCAGAATTGTTTCAGGGGTAAAGATGCGCATTCCACAGAAGCGCTCGAAAGCAATAGGGTAAGTAGATTTTATTCTTTCTTATAAAAATGAAATATATGGGAGGTGGGGTTGCCACAGGCGACTAAAATAAGACTATTTGTAACTATTTTCGGCCTGAGGCGACTATAGCAACTTTTTTGTCTGAAAAAGCTAAAGAAGTATCTATTTTCAGGAATAGGAGACTATTCGGAGACTTTTCTGTACTCCTAGCGATGTTTTTTTTTTTTAAGCATAAATTGGGTTGAAAACCTGCGGTCTGCGGAAATTCTAAACGCAACAAATTTTTTTTTTCGAGAAAAAAAAAAAAAAAAAAAAAAAGCAAAATATATTGAAAATTTTGAATCGCAAATTTGAGTCATCACTTTTAAATGTTCTCAATTTGCTCAATTTCCATGGTAAGTCTATTTTGTTTCTGGATTGCCTTTTGAACGGTTATTGCTACGAAATTTAGCATGGTTTTAAAAAACCTAATTTTTAATAATCACGATGCGTGAATTTCGAATTTGAGTATAATCACTTTTCACAATGTATACATATATATATGTGTTAAATCAATTATTGATAAAAGGGAAAATTTTGTTGAAATTAGTGTGTTTTTTTTAATGAAAAAGTATTTTTTGTATGAATTCTAGTCATTAATAGAAGTTATTTTTCTGCAAATATACTATATTGTTTTGATGTAAAAATTAAGTGCTTGAACACTAACTTTTATACAAAAATTATCATATTTGCTAACCACTTATCTAAATGGATCATGGTATATGACAATTAGGTCATTTAATAAAATTTTAGACATATTATTGAAAACTTTTTTGTTCTTATTTAGGCAACTATTTTCATAGTTTTCGGCAACTATTTTCATGATTTAGGTTACTAAAAGCAACTGTTTAGTTTTTCTGTGGCAACCCTGTATGAGAATCAAATTGTGGAAGTAGCTTGTATTCTTATAAAAATGAAATATATGAGATGCAAAAAAAAAAAAAAGAAAAGAAAAACGGGCAATGGAACATAAATACATGTCGTGACCTTGACTGTCTTAATATTTCACTACTACCGTATTGGTGAACAAAGGGACAATGGAGATATTCCTTTCTTTCTTTTCAGATCAAATCAAAACTTTTTTTTCCCCTCATCCTCTTTATTCGGAGAAAGTTTTCTCTGAAAAATATGTTTGTTAATAATATTTCTCAATGTTAATAATAATAATTTCTATAGCCCAATAGATGGCGCTAGGCGCAGTAATGTAAAATGTTGTTATTAGGCATTGTATCATGATCATCTTCCTTGTTTTTGTTATTAAACATATTATGTTAAAGGCGTTTGTAATGATTTAAAACAGCGAGGTCATCGTATTTAATATTAGCACCCAATGTTTTCCCACTCATTCCCATGGGCAGAATCGCAGCAACACGGCGACATTGTCGCAGAACGTTACACAGTTCTCGCAGAATGATTTTTCTTTTGAAAAGTGAAAATAATTACTTTTCTTCAGAAATTAACACGTAATGTTTGAATGATGCATTTAGGTAATTACTTTTTGACGCACTCAATTTACACCGATAATATCGTGTTTCGATTGTATTTTCGGCAGTTATTGATATTGATTTTCACATGATTTTTAAATATCCCGATCTATAGTCAGGAGTCTGTCCAGACATTTTGTGAAACGTTTTTGTAAAATTGTGAAAAAATGACTCGTAATTTGTGGATATAAAATAAACGTTAAGTAACATTCTTTCAACCAGGGTCCGCTTTCGTGAATTTATGCAAATAGGGTCTGTAATTGCAAAAAAGCTTTTTCAAGGAGTTTTTAAATTGTAAAGACATACAAGATTATGCTCAACATTGTAAAATTATAATTAAATTAAATTTTAAAAAATAAACACCAATTGTAGCTATTAAATTAGCGATGCAACATATAAATATTTGGTATTTAGCCTATACTGCTGAATGCAGAATATTCATTTCGGACGAATAAAGGAGGAAGCGTCTGCCGAAGACAAAACTTAATCGTTTACATCCATCTTTCTTGTTTTCTGCCCTGGGAAGGGTTTATTCGATTAACAAAACAATAATGAAGATAAAAAAATTTGTGAAGGGTCCGTTTTTAAGTTAAAATATTTTGTGAAGGGTCCGTTAACGGACCCAAATTTCTTCTAAACAGACCCCTGATAGTGCGATATTAAAAAAAAAAAACAAGTAGTTTGTAAGTAGTAGTTAATATCTCCTCATATTTTACCAAGCCGATTTTTTTTTAAATTCAAAATCTTTTTGAATATTTCTAAAAATTAAGTTCTCCAGTTACGTTTCTCTTCAAAAAGTAACGAAGTAGTGACTACATTTCGAAAGTAATTTGTAGTCGCTACGCTTAAAAAAAAAGTAGTTGTGACTAACTACAATTTTAATAAAGTAGTTGTAGTTAACTACAAAGAAAATGTAGTTTTTCTGGCCACTGGTCATTTATCTTCAGAAACTGAGAAAATTCAGGGAATTTTGCTTTTCATAATCGTCATTTAAAACACGATAACCACTCTTAAGCACAATCTATGGTATATTTAAGGAGTTGTATTTAAGCGTTATTATGGGATATTTCAGCTATATTAAACTAGTTCATTTAATACAGAATTATTATTTTTAAATATGTTCAGCTGTTTCTTTTTACTCTTCAGTTTTTTCAACAAGTATAACTAATACAGCTCATATAAGAGTAAAGTGATTGCATTTTTCCTCTTAATGTATTGTGTACGTTGCTGTGAATGTGATTAATTCTGTGATTATTTATAATAACCCGTAATTATGTATTATCATTACTAAAGATGGTAAATATGATAAATTCTTGAAAATTTATCAAATTAACCGGTTTGTTTGCCTAAGTCCAGACTCGTAATGGTAATGTCCCTTAACTTTACGAAAATTATTTCAGTTTGTGCAACTGCTTGACTTGTGAAGAAAATGTATTTGAATTAAATGTAAGATAATTAGTGAGGAAAAATTTATTTTACTTGACGATGTTCCAGATCTAGCAATCTTCGAGAATACGCTAGAAAGACATCTCTTTCTGGAGGTCAGGGCGATGTGTTTGTAAGGGACAACGCGAGCCTGATAAGTGCAAATATAAATATCTGGCAAACTTTGTTAATCTAAGTGTCACAACAATCTAATATTCTTAAATAAGTGAACTTAAAATATTTAGCAATTTGTAGTAATAGCATTTAAAGTTATTTGAAAAAATGATTTTTTCTCTCTCTCTAGAATATAGGCTTAGTTTGTTCTTTTATATGTAACAGCAGTTTTTTTTTTATGTGCAACTATTTCTTACAAATTCGTGTAAATAGTATTTCTTTCCTTTCACAATACCTGTGAGTCTTTTATTCAAATTTCGTTCAGGCTAAATAAATGTATGTGACTTAAAATAACCATTTATTGACTTTTTAATTGTAAAATATAAAATATTGTAATTCGTGGTCTCTTACGCCATAATGTCCAACGAAAAAATATCTTTCTGAGTAATAACTACTAAAATAACTGCACTCTATTTTACTGGACCAATCAGTCTTGATATTTATCACATTTGTTCCGAAGTGGACTAATCGTTAAGACACGGTTCCCAGCAGATCACCAAAGTAAAGCGGTCAGTGTGCGGGTGGGTGAACGCTTGGATTAGTCTGCGTAGGGACCGAGAGTGTACGGTATGGGTCCTCATTAAACTGTTCTACCGCTAAGTGCTCAACTTCGCTTGCAGGTCGTCGGGCTACCGAAGCGGGGGTGCCATCCTCTCTACGGAGGATCAAAATTGTGATGGCATGTCTTCGAATCATCCTCAGGGATATTTCCCAGACCGTCGCCAATAGACCATTGTTGCAAAACGCAGTGCGTTGTGCAACCCTAGTGCGACGTCAATGAACAACAACAACAACTACAATTTATCACATTTACCGTAAAGATTTGTGAATTATGCGAAGAAACCGGTTAATTTGATAAATATCAGAGATGATTGTGCTCCGGAAAAATTCCGGATTCAAAAGTTTCAAGAAATTATTGATCACATTTATGCTTTTAAATTCTTGTATATTTTATTTAAAAACAGTAGAACTAGAATTTATACTTGGTATCTCTTTCATTTGTAGATATTTTTTTCTGGTAGAATAATAAATGTGATTAGAGATAAAAGTAAACTTATAAATAATTATTCATTTAAAGTATGCTGCTTGTAATTTATTTATAATTTTATGTTTTGAAAATTTCAATGATTTAAATTTATAAAGACATTAATTTTTTGAAATGCGTCATTAATGATTTTACTCAAAAAATTTTCAGGATTTTTGAGTTGGTCTCACAATTACCCCTGTAAATATTCAAAAATTTATATTTACTAAATCTAGTGGTGATTATATATAATCACCAGCTTATTACTTTCTCCGTAACCTATATAATATATACAGGGAAAACACGAGGAATTTTTTTCTCCAGATTNGACCGTCGCCAATAGACCATTGTTACAAAACGCAGTGCGTTGTGCAGCCCTAGTGCGACGTCAATGAACAACAACTACAATTTATCACATTTACCGTAACGATTTGGGAATTATGCGAAGAAACCGGTTAATTTGATAAATATCAGAGATGATTGTGCTCCGGAAAAATTCCGGATTTTTCGCTAATCACGATCCGGAAGTTTGCGGCTATCCAAGGTCCAAAAGTTTCAAGAAATTATTGATCTCATTTATGTTTTAAAATTCTTGTATATTTTATTTAAAAATAGTAGAACTAGAATTTATACTTGGCATCTCTTTCATTTGTAAATATTTTTTTCTGGTAGAATAATAAATGTGATTAGAGATAAAAGTAAACTTATAAATAATTATTCATTTAAAGTATGCTGCTGTAATTTATTTAGAATTTTATGTTTTGAAAATGTCAATGATTTAAATTTATAAAGACATAAATTTTTTGAAATGCGTCATTAATGATTTTACTCAAAAAAATTTCAGGATTTTTGAGTTGGTCTCACAATTACCC